ATAGTCCACGTCGGTTGAGAAGGAGAACGAAGCATTCTTTATGAGGGTGTGGAAACATCTCCCTCATTTTAAAACCTTGAGGAGAAGCCCCGAAAGAAAAGCTCAAATAGAACAATATCTGCTAACGATGGGTTTGAGCTGTTACCAATGGTATCAGAGCCAGACACTAGACGATGTACCAGCGAGGAGGCTGAGCCTCGAAGGGGGGTGGCCATGAGGCGATGTGCTAGTAAGGATACTGGGCCTTGAAGGGGGGTGGATTAGAGGATCCCACATCGATTGAAGAAAATAACGAGTGTCATCGAGGATGTTGGGTCCTGAAGGAGGGTAGAATGTGAGATCTCACATCGGTTGGAGAGATGAATGAGTCTCGAAGGGGGTGATCACGAGACAGTGTGCGACTCCAAAGGGAGGTGGATTGAAGGGTCCCACATCGATTGGAGAAAGGAATGAATGGCATTGAGGATGTTGGGCCCCGAAGGGGGTGGATTGTGAGATCTAACATCGGTTGAGGAGGAGGAGGAAACATTCGTTATTAGGGTGTGGAAACATCTCCCCCTAGTAGATGCGTTGTGTTTTAAAACCTTGATGGGAAGCTCAAAAGGGGAAAACTCAAAGAAAACAATACGTGCTAGCGGTGGATTTGTGCTATTAGACTTCAGACCCTCAAACTATTTCAACTTTAGCTTGTTACAATTTTGTTATAGTCATATACAGATGATAACGTCGGTTAAAGAGGTCATAGATAAAGATATCCACGGGACAAGATAGCCTTCTCCATCCACATCCCCGCACCCTCTTTCATCCTCCATCCCGTGAAAATCTCTACTTATTTCTGTGGGGATCGGAGTGAGGAATCCCCACATAGAATGCAAGAAGATCGAGTTTCCGACTGATATTTTTCCCATATTTTTATTCTTTTTAAAAAAATTAGTTCGCATAATTTCTATTTTTCTATCTAATTTGAAGATAAATACTTTTAATAGTTATGACTTGTAACAATTAAAAAAAAAAAAGAAAAAAAAAAAGAAAGGCGGGTCACAAATGCAAATAGAGAAAAGTTGTGACCTAAAAAGAAAAACAAAAAACGAAAAAGGATTTGGGACTAAACGGAACAAGGTGTAAACTTTAGGACGGAGAAAAGGGCCGAGAAAAATGGCGGCGAGACAGAAAGCGGTGGCGACGCTGCCGAATCTCATCAGAAGCATTAGAAAAGATCGCCGGAGACCTGGTCTCAGCCAGCCTCTACCGTCATTGAGACGCGCGTTTTCACTGTACGATCAGATCAATCTCATCGATAATGTTCCTGAAGATCAGCTTCGCTTTCAACGGTTCAACCCTAACTTTTTTTTTCTTTTTTTTTTTTCTCCTTTCGCATCAATTTCTTCCTCGATTTCATATTGTTGTTTCTTTCCTGTTGGAATTTAAGGTATACTGAGACGGGTTTCACTGTGAACGGACTTGATTATGAGGGGAGCTTGCTATGCGTTGGGAATTTGTTGATGTCTTGGAGTCCTAAGAAATTTTCGGAGATTACGCCTGAGAGGTTTGCTATGCATTTCTTCTTATTTAGTTTACAATATTTTGTTTACTAACTACTTCTTTTATGGTGATTGAAATGTATCTTTTGCAGCTTATCTATCTTCCAAATTATGCGGCCTATTCCAGGTAAAATCTGGTGTTGTGTTTGAATAAAGGATTGAATTATTGAACATTGTTTAAGTAGTTCAAATATTAATGTCTGGAGTTACCTAGTTTGACGTTTCTCTTGAGCTAGTTTTCTCTGAGTTTTCATTTCTTGGTTATGATATTTTTTCTTGTCTGTTAACGAGCAAGGTCCTTAATGGTTCGATCTCTCTGTGCCTGAGCACAAGACAAACTTCATAATTTGTTTCTTTTTGTAGTACTACCACATGTCACAGTAGAAATTCAAACTTCCAATTTTCGGAGAGTATACGGATATTGTGACACGCCGTTTTTTTGTTAAATCTAGGACACGGACATGGACGCGACAAGGACATGTTTATGAAAATATACAACTTTGAAAATGTTTATCATTTTTATACAAAAAGGAAATTACATCTTGTTTGATGTGTTTGATAAATATTGCGTCTATATTGATTTTGTACAACCAATGTCTAACATATTATTGTGCTAACTCGAACATAGATACACTAGTCAAACTAAAGTGTCCGTGCTTCTTAGTCTGGGATATATCAAAATATAATGTTAGCAGCCTGTGGATGACACATATATGGTGTACTTTTGTTGTTCATACTATTGATGGCTTCCTTTCTTAGGCATGCTTCTAATGTCTTAAGCTGCCCTGTTAACCAAATGTTGTATTTACTTTTCAACACTCAGTCATCACCGTAATGCATCTACTGTTCATATGTTGCTCTGTGCAAGCAAAATTTATTGATTTCTACCATTAGCTGATTACTTTTCTTCATATGAAAGCTTGATTATTTTCTCTCTAATTTCAGAAATTCTAGTGCTTGGCTGTGGGAGATATATTGAACCAGTTAATCCTCAATTGAGGCAGTTCATTCGTTCCACTGGCATGAAGTTGGAAGCTGTAGACTCGGTACTTACGGTTTGAAATTACGTCGGTTTGTTTTATAATTAGACCTGTTTATGGTATCGTAGAGATAAGATAAATATTTTTAATGCAACTCAAAATCTAGATATTGAGCTATTTTACGTGCCTGAGACTGATTGGTGGGAAAACGGTATATTCTTTTTTTAGGATAAGAAATAGTATTTTGTAACATTAACTATAAAACGAGGAGGGAAAAAACATCTACCAACCCTAGTGGCCTAGTCAAAAGAGATTGTAGAATCGTTACTGTATTGTCTGGTTAGGGATATCCCACATCGATTGTGGAGGAGAACGAAACACCTTTTACCTTTATAAGGGTGTGGAAACCTCTCCCTAGCAGAGATGTGTTTTAAAAACTTTGAGGGGAAGCTTGAAAGGGAAAGCCCAAAGAGGACAATATCTGCTAGTGGTGGGCTTGGACCATTACAAATGGCATCAGAGCAAGATATTGGGCGATATGTCAGCGGGGAGGCTTAACCCTGAAGGGGGTTGGCACGAGGCAGTGTGCCAGTAAGGACGCTGGGCCCCGAAAGGGGATGGATTGGGGGGTCTCACATCGATTGAAGAGAACAAGTGCCAGCAAGGACGTTGGACCTTGAAGGGGGGTGAATTGTAATATCCCACATCGGTTGGGGAGGAAAACGGAACACCCTTTATAAGGGTGTGGAACCCTCTCCCTAGCAGACACGTTTTAAAAACCTTGAGGGGAATTCTGAAAGGGAAAGTCCAAAGAGGACAATATCTGCTAGCGGTGGGCTTAGGCCGTTACAAGTAATCTGCTATGTTCCTTACAATCACTTCATCAGTTTGGTTCAAACTTCTTGGTACACACCTAAATATATTAATCAGATTTTGGAACTATATCAGGTCGCAAAAGAAACGAAACTAAGTGGGGGTGGAGTTGAGTAAGTTATCAATAACCATGATCATGTAGGGACTGATGTAGAAACCTCATCCATATTTATCTGTAAAATCAGGGTAATACGTACATAGGAATGAAACATGAGCTCTTATGGCAAAATGGACATTCTCTTTTTGCTGCATCCCTTGTGTTTTGATAATAATGAAGATACATGAAACGTGGTGTTATTGCTCATTATACCAACAAAATTGGGTTATTTGCAGAGAAATGCAGCATCAACATACAACATCTTAAATGAGGAAGGTAGAATTGTAGCTGCAGCTCTTCTGCCTTATGGAGTTTCTTCATGAATCCCAGAGGCAGATGAAGACATTCTTTATATGGATGCTTCTCAACTGCAGAGTTCTTCTCGGCCTCAAGCATTCCCAAAGTCATTTGTAGCATGACTGGCAAGTAATACTCTCTTTTTTTCTGTATGTACTGTGATTATCAAAACCTGCCATTCATTTTTTTCAGCAATAAGCATTTGGCGATTTATACACGTGCACGAAAATTAAGTACATATTTCCTGATTATCTTATCTTATCTTATCTTAGAAGCTGGCTCTTTCATATACCATTCCTTTTCGAGTTGTTCGTGGGAGTATGTTTAGAAATGATTTTGACATGTCTAAAATTGTCTTCCTTTTCGAGTGGTGGTGTCGGGTAATAGTTGAGGATCTAAACCACTTGGAAGGCGATTCACGAGTGGTTTTAGATGAGTAATTGAGATATCGACTTCTTATAATGAATTCCATTCTAAACATAATCTTTTTTGAACTTTACTTTATTTTATTCTAAGATTAAAAAAAAAAAAAAAGTACTATACTTTCTTTAAGGTTTTTTTAGCTTTCTATTTATTCTCTCAACATCTTTTTTCCCTTTCTTTCAACTATAATGCCTTTTAGCAATTTGATTATTCTAAAATTATTGTGGAAACGAACATTAACCATTCAAAAACGCTTTTAATTTGATCAAAATTGTGAAAAAAAAAAAACATTCAAAACAATTTATAATCAAACACTAAAGGTAATCAAATTACTTTGGCAAAATCACTAACTCAAAAATTGCAAGAGAATTTCTTGATTAATGTCATACTTTTGTAAACTATGATCGAAGTTGTGTATTTTTTTCTTCTTATTCACTACATGACAATCCATGAAAAAAAAAATAACAAAACTTTAATTAGTCATGTTATGTTTTTCATTTTGATGGTAATCAACATGTTTAGTTATTGGAACGAACAATTTTTATATTCTTAGACTATAACATAAGCTAAATACTTCATTCAAAATTTGGGATTTACGATTCATAAAACATAAAATCGTCAAATCCCGAGTTCTAAATCCATCCTGCACTCTAAACACGTTTTTTTTTTATCCTAAAACTGCGTGCCAAACGATCTAAACTTAGTTTCTACGAACTCAGGCCCTATTTAAATACTCATGCTGTAAAAAGGAAAAATAAGTATTATAAAAAAGTTGTGAAGAAAAAAAGATAATCCAATTATTTTCTAGATTGGATTCATGTCTCTCAATGTGTCGTTGAGGGTATGATGTCTTATCTAAGTTAGCTGATTTTTTTTTAGTTCAACGGTTACAGAAGTGAGAGATACAGATGAACCATTGCCCCCTTTAAGCTTATGTCAAATTGGCCGATTAGACTGCGTTTTTATGATCCATCCAAAATGTAAAGTCAAATTGTATCCTAGCTGTTCTACCATTACCACGCCATGTACCTTCTCTCAAATTTCTGGCTCTGAACTCGACTCATCATGTAGAAGAGACTCTGCGCCTCCGGGACCTCGACGTTGTTGGTTGGTTTGATTTTCATACTTCATGACATCCTGAGTTTCATTTTCATTGTCCTCCATCTTCATGAATTGGAACCCCATAATATACCGATACTCTCCTGTCCCGAGGCAACGAGAGCAGTAGCCAAGACCACTCCCACCACAAGCTCTACACCTGCAACAGTATTTAAAGGCGAGTTCATTTGATATCAAGTTTGGTAATGTGAAAAGAGATTACAATTATGATGTTTTCAGTTGAGAAAGAAAAGATCATAAACAATCATACCATTTTGGCCATTCCCCTTTTGGAAGCATTTCTAGGTGAACAGAATTTGTCCTCCCTAGTTTGAGAGCATATGAACATGTTACTTAAAGGGATTGAACAAATAAATTCAATTCTGTAACATAACATCTTGGAGGGAATGTGTGAGAGAAAGTGAGAGAGAGAGAGGAGAGAAACCTCTTCCACAACAGTCGTGACAATCAACTCTTCCACTTCCATGGCATATCGCACAAGGTGGATCTGGCTTCTTTCTTTTTTCTCTCCTAACATTTGACTGCAATGAAAGAGGAAACACTACCCTGATGACTAGGAAAACAAAATAAGGGCTTTGTATGAAACATTTAATGTTAAATCATTTATGTTTGGTTTTACACTTAATTGAATGATTAACGTAACAACCCAAGCCCACCGCTAGTAGATATTGTCCTCTTTAGGCTTTCCCTTTCGGGCTTCCTCTCAAGATTTTTTAAAACACATCTGCTAAGGAGAGGTTTCCACACCCTTACTAAGAATGCTTCGTTCTCCTCCCCAACCGATGTGGGATCTCACACTCCACCCCCTTCAAGACCCTTCGAGACCCTGTGTCCTACTGGCACTCGTTCCCTTCTCCAATTGATGTATGACCCCATCAATCCACCCCCTTTGCAGCCCAGCGTCCTTGCTGGCGCACCGTCTCGTGTCTACCCCCCTTCAGGGCTCAACCTCCTCACTAGCACATCGCCAAGTGTTTGGCTCTGATATCATTTGTAACAACTCAAGCCCACCACTAGCAAATATTGTCTTCTTTGGACTTTCTCTTTCGAGATTCCCCACAAGGTTTTTAAAATGCGTCTGCTAGGGAGAAGTTTCTACACCCTTATAAAGAACGTTTCGTTCTCCTCCCCAACCGATGTGAGATCTCACACTTAATGTCTGGTTTAAAAAGTTATTTAGGCTCATCAAATTACTAAAAAACATGGTTATTTATGTTCTAAAGTGATTTTTAGTCGATTATTCAACAAAACAACCTCCGAAGCAATTGACGTGACTGAGAATCACTTTTAAGTGATTTTGGATATTTTCAAAATCATGTTCACACCAATGCCAAAAATAACTATGTTGGAGGTGATTTCAGCAATGGAAAAAGCTACTCCCAAGCATGCTCCAACACTTGACCTCTTCTTCAACCGTCACTTGGTTCGATTAGTAAATCCCTCTCATTGTACTTCTTTATAACACTCCAAGTAAAATTCAGAAATAAAACACTTCCAGCCCTCTTATATGGAATGCAGAAAAACCAAGCACACACAACAGAGTACAAGTAGGAAATCATTTATATCAAAAGAAAAATTACTTGCAGAGTATATCATCGTGACCAGAACCTTAAAATTGAATAAACTAGGATCTATGTAGATTCAACAGTCTTCAGAACAAACAATTCATAAATGAATAATGAAACTACAATTGAAGTTACAATCAATAATACATATATTCCCTTGTAGACCTTTAATCTGAAATAGTATTTGGTAAATTAGTCACAGATTGTTCTATCAGACCCCAATCAAACAGCAGGTACAGCCATTTTCCTCATCAATAAACTAAACAGAAGCACAATTTTAGGTACTTTTCTGCTGAAAATACACCCTAACTTCAATTAAGAGCTGTAATCATTGTCCCATGTAGAGGAAGGGTCCAAAAAAGACTTAAAAATATGTCAAGTTGAAATAAGAAACCTTCATACATTAAGATAAGCTAAACCTCAAGAGAATTCAAGAGCAGAGAACAAAAACGGGCTTTGAATCTATGCAGTTTCAGAGATTTATAACACACACACACACACACACACACTCTTCAATAGAGAGTTCAGGAAATGAGATAAACGAAAGATTACAACGACAAGATTTTCAATCGAAATGGTTTAGTAACAAAAGCGAATAATTCCGGCCAAATGGAACAAAATGATTCACGCATTCCGCAGCCTAATCTCGCAGCCTAATCTCGAAGACCTAAAACAACAAGAATTCAAGTTTAGCGATGCGAATTACCTCAGTTCTGACTATCCAAGAAGGCTTTGGAATTGATAGACGGGGAAAAGAGGTTGAGTTCGAAGGAGGAATTACGCCATTTGAGTCTGTCGCTTTCAATTGAACGGCCGGTAGAACAATCGGCGTTGTTCTCGCCGCCATCCAGCACTTCCCGCCGACCTCCGTCGTTCAGTTTAGCCGTTCCGGTGAAACCCCAACCAGAGAATGAGCCTCCGTTTTGGTCTGTGGCGGTGACTGCAATCCCCTCCCGATGCTCTTGTGAGCATAATATTATTATTATTTTTTTTAATGACAAAACAAAAAATATTTATTTGTTTAAATTATAAAATTAAGGTTAATGGTTTTGTCAATTCAATTCTTAAATTTTATCTTTTAATTATTAATCCTATTACTTAAATAAAAATCCCTCCTCCCGTTCTCGTTAGTAAAAATTTGAAGTTCCGATCTTTTGATTAGGCGGTCTTTGCCACGTATGAGAGTTAAACACCTAAGTCCCGAGCAGGTATCAAATACCTGATTTTTACTTTTAAACTCGAACTTAAAAAAATGCATAGAAAAATCTTAAGAACTTAAAAGAAAATAGTGAAAAACTAAAAAAATTCGGTCAAAGTCAACCTAACCATTTTGTCCCGCTTCAAACTCGAGCTCAAAATGACCCAATCCTCTCTTTTCTTAGATCTTGATCGGGCCTTGGCTAATTCTTGGTCCATTTATCCATCGTCAAGGTTTAGGCCTTATTGGACTATTTTCCTTGATCTTTCAAAATAATTTCATAATTTACTCATTAAAAAAACGAAAGATAACATATGGAATAGGTTGAAGAGCGACATGAGAGGAAGAGAATTCCACTCAACCCAATTCTCCCTCCTCGGCCTCGGTAACAGGTCAAATCCATAGAGAACTATTCCCTTAACGAACGTTCGTCATGTACGCTCCCATCCGAGACTCTTCGGTTCAGTTTTAGTTTTGATTAATATCAATCTCAAGATCACCCACTACGCATTAAAGTATTTGTTGTACTTTTTAGTTACTTTGAACCGTGCAAAATAAAATGTGAGTGATAGTGGATATTCATTTTTTATTATATGAAAACTTCAAATTTTTATACCAAATATTTGTCGTATCAATTAATAAAACCCTACAATCAACATGTATTTGGACCCATATTTAATCTTTTCCCCTCAACATCTTGTCGAGAAATGGTTACACATTCATTGTGGTAAACATTAAATTTATTAATTATTGGTTGTATAAGAGATAAAAGACGGTTTGTGTAATAGCTCAAGCTTACAGCTTGCATATATTGTCCACTTTGACCCGTTACGTATCGCTATTAGTCTCACGGTTTTAAAACGTGTCTACTATGGACAGGGTCTAACCCTATTTCGACCAATACCTTGCATCATCCAGTGACTGATACCATGTGTAATAGCCCAAGTTGACTACTAGCAGATATAGGGAGAGGTAAAAATATCTTTGTATGATATTGTCCACCTTGAGCATAAGCTCTCATGACTTTGTTTTGGGCTTCTCCAAAATGCCTTATATCAATGGAGATGTATTCCTTACTTATAAACCCACGATCATTCCCTAAATTAGTCAATGTGGGACTCCTCTCCCAACAATCAACAATCCTCCCCTCGAACCAAGTACAATATAAAGTCTCTCCTAAGGCCTATGGAGCCCTTGAGTAGCCTTCCCTTAATTGAGACTCGACTCCTTTCTTTGGAGCCCTCAAACAAAGTACACCCTTTGTTCTTAGCTAATTTAAGGGCACGACTCTAATACCATATTAAGAATCACGACTCTTCACAATAGTATGATATTGTCGACTTTGAGCACAAGTTCTCAAAAGGGTATTTTTGAAACAATTTTGGGAACAGAAAAAGATCTTCATTAAAGGCTTAGTTTAATGAATAATTAAAATAGGTTATAATGTATATTATTGGTAGTACGGTTATTTTTGCAATAAAGTACATTAATTGTGATGAATTGTAGTTAGAAAGTGAGATGAACATAATTTATTGGTCTCGCAAAGCATTATTAATAAGATAGGGTGAGGTGGCCAATGGGTGTCTTCAAAATGAAGCTGTGTAAGCACGCAGCTAAGCACTTTTGATATCAATGCAAACAAGATGGGAGTTGTTCTTAGCTATGATGGTGATGAAATTCATCATAATTAGGGTTTTCTAAATTTTCTATCAATAAATGGAATGATTTTTTATTTATTTATTTATTTTGGTTTTAGATTTTTTGAATTAAATGAATGAATATCTGTCTCGTTAGCTCCTTAACTTTCAGGTTTATGTGGGTAACGGAACGAAGAAAATAAAATAAAAGAATAAATACCAACTATGATGTAAATCTCGTGAAAACAACTGTCCACGAACGCTACAAAACCTCGTGTCTTCAACTCGTAAATCATTCAAAAGCTCTCACACTCTCATCTATAGTGAATACACAGTAGGAATACAAAAAGATAAAAACGTTTCAATTCTCTGTTTGTGGGGTTATCTACTATTGTGAATGTTTGATTAATCCACCACACCTAAATGGTGTGAAAGTTATCTTATTTATAATCAAATAAATTACAAGGATATGGAAATAGTAATAAATGGAAATAACAATAAATGGAAAGATATCTATAGTAATAAGGCAAATATTAGATATTTGTCTTATAATAAAATATCAAATATAATATATACGAGAAAGTATAATTTATTACTAAATATCCTTAACAACTATAATAACACGAAAAGGGACTTGCGGTGATGTTTTGTGAGTCGAGAATATTTAACTTTAAAAAAAAAAAATTCAAAGATATCCTTATTGTTAGTACCACTTTTCATTGGAGATAATCCACTCCGTGTTGATAGACCAGTAAAAGAGTATTAATACAACTGTTAAAATTTTATGGGTATTTTTAGTAAACATATTTTTTAACTTTAAAAAATGGGACGTGTATTAATGATTTTTTTTAATTTAAGTTATTTTTTAAATAAAGTATTTGATGAAAAATAAAATTTAAATTTGTTGAAATAATTGTATTAATAGTTAACTCAATTATCAGATCGATGAACTCAATTGAATTTAATAAATTAGGAAGGAAGTGATCTATGTTATACAATTATGTTGGTTGGTACGGGATATTGATATCAGAGTCACCATAACTGTTTGAATGACCATTAGACTTTAGATTAGCCTAGCTTCTCGTGGTTTTTAAGATATTTTAAAAATTATATTTAGTGGTTATGATGGGAACAAACGTGTACACATTTAATAGTCTTTTTTATTTGAATCATTATTAGACCACCCGTGACATAGCAATCAATTCAAGAAAGTTGAAGTGAATTTAGCTCGATGGTAAATGACATATATGCTAGAGATATCTCGGGGTCGGGATGTGGAAGCCTTCTACACTCATGTCTCTGCCTTTTAGGCGAGGATTTTCCATCGAGAATTTGTGGGGATTGGGTTCGTGGTGGAATTTTTTTTAAAATATTCCTTTTGAAGAATTTTTTTTAATGGATAATTTTCATTTTTCGATATAATTTATAGAATATAATATTCAATTTAATTTCTCATTAATAAAATTAGAGATGTATATTTAACTCGTCCCAAATGGTAGCGTATTAATTTAAGTAAGTTAAAATAAACCAAGAAAAATATTATAATAGAAATGTATTATATTAATTTCATATACATGTCATAGTGCAACATGACATCTCATACACACATATCATCATAACATGACATGTTATCATAACGTAATGTATTGCCATACATCTCATTTCATCATAACATATCATAGCATCATAATATATCATATCATCATAGCATAACATATCATCATAGCATAACATATCATCATAGCATAACATATCATCATTACACATTATATCAAACACATGACATTGTAGGGACTACTGGGCATGTGTCATCATACATAAGACAATTCTTCTGATCGATGGTAGGGTCACTTACTTGATTGACCTTAGCCGACGTTCTATCCTATTTTCAAAATTTGTTTGACTTGTCCCTCGAAATTCGTAACGATCTACATGGAAACACTCCACTATATTAAAGACATCTATCTAACTCTTCCAATAGTCCTACGTCCTACATAATTACTTAAATTAATTAAACGAGACTTATACCAACCTTAATTACATTTAATAAGGTCAAATCTCGCGTTTCCAGTAAGTGCCGTTTCTGTTTTTTTTTTAATTATTTTTTATTCCATTACACTATAAAGTTCGAAATATAACAAATGAACGTAAGAATAACAAAAACAATGATTTCAACGGGTCTCTAAACAGTACATGATATGTTAAAATAATTCAAAAAATATTTGTCCATCTATACATAACGTAAACATATGCTAACATGACTATAATTAAATTGACATAAATCATATATCTTTAGCTAAGAGGTCTGATTATTCAAGTCTCCCACCTCACGTATTATTGAACTAAAAATTTATTAATCCCAACTTCAAAAAAGTTATACGGTAAGGCGAAAGAAGCTCTAGCAAACTCAAAGGATAAGGAAAAAAAGAAAGTAACCAAACAATCGGTCGAATCGATTTCGTTCGATAACGAAACGATCTTTGCAGTTCGTCATGGATGGAAGGTAGGGATGTCCACTCGACAAGGACGGGAAATCCCACTAATTTTTTCGTCTCTTTTTTGTAGGAATTTTTTTTTTTTTTTTGCTGGAAATTCGTGGAGATCAAATTTTGTTGAGATATAATATTTAGTGAATATATTATTTATGGAATATATCTTAGATATTTATTGTAATATTCTTTCCTTTATAATTTGATTTATAGTAAATTTTATTTTATTCTCAATATTTAATTAATTTATATTTAGTAGGTATTAGTTGTTCGCTTGTATCCTATTCAAAGCTAATAAATATCAATAAGACTACACCTTTCTGATTCTATTTTTATTTCTATTTCTTATTTTGCATATAATTTTTTTTTTCTGCTGTTTATTATTTTTTTTTAAAAAAATAATTATTTTAAAGTTTTCATTTTTTATATTATCATTATTAAAAATTATAAAAAAAATCCTAATAAATCAATATTAATTTCTAAAAATTCAAAATTTTATAACCATTAAAAAAAAATCAACCACAATTGTCTAAATATTATAATTTGAATTTCAAAATTAACCCTTTTTTTAATATATCAAAAAATATATATATATATATATATATATATATATATATATTAATATAGGTTGAAAATATATTTATATT